GGTGAGATGGGCAGGCTAGAAGGAGCTGGAGTAGGAAGAATGCCCTTCTCCAGCTAAGAAAAGGCTCTGGTAAACTCTTTTCCTCTGGAGATCAGTCCTTTGTTATGAAGCATGCTGTGACATGTCGCACAATAACTACTCTTTCTCTCCTCCTGACTGAGCTGCAATGGGATCTTTTTTTGGATTTTCACCATGTCCCTCTGTGTGGGGCCATGCTAAGATTGCAGCCCCAGAGCTATCTCACTCTAAGGCTAATCCACACTCAGCCTCCAGCAATTCTAGCATCTTCTGTCGAGGTAAGCAAATCTCAGCTGTGACTCTCCGGATTCACCTGTCTCTCCAGATTTTGAGGTTGCAGTTTGCCCTACAATCTCAGTTCTCTGGTGGGTGGAAAAAAAGTTGTTGATTTTCAATTTGTTCAGCTTGTTCTTATTATAAGAAAAGGAGTGACAACTTCTAGGCTTATTATATGTCAGAGATGAAATTGGACATGTCCTCTGTTTAATTTCAGTTCTTTCAAATTTGTTGAGGTTTATTTTATGGCCCAAGATATAGTCTTTCTTGGTGAATGTTCCATGGGCATTTGAAAAAAAAATGTATTCTGCTGTTGTTGGGTGGAGTGTTCTGTGTGTGTCAGTTAGATTCTTTAGTTCATTGAGTTGTTTACTTCTTTTATACCTTTACTGATTTTCTGTGCAGTGGTTCTATCAGTTGCTAAGAGTGGGATGTTGAAGTCCCCACTCTAATTGTGGATTTATCTATTTCTCCTTTCAGCACTATTATTTTTTTAACAGCTTTATTGAGTTAATTCACATATCATACAATACACTCGTTTAAAGTATACAATTCAGTGGTTTTTACTATATTCACAGATATGTGCAACCATCACCATGTCAATTTTAGAACATTTTTCTCACCCTAAAAGAAACCTTGTGCCCTTTAGCTGTCACCTCTCTATTCCCCCATACTTACCCCTATGCAACTACTTATTTACTTTCTGTCTCTATAGATTTCTCTGTCCCAGTCCTTTGGCTAAGGGGAACAGGCTTTTCTTGGAGATTTTTTTTGTCTGTGCCTGTTGATGGTTCTGGGTTGGAGGCTTCTGCAGCATCCTATCTGAGATATGTGGGAAGCAATAAGGAAACCTAGGGAACTTAACCACTGCTGTGTTGCTCCTCAAGTCCCAATGTCCCTAGGCTGTTCACCTTCATTCTGTGTTTCAGAATCTTCCTATGCTTGTTTGTGGTGTTATGACCAGGGTATTTTAGTTGTAAGAGGAAGGACCTGGGAGGAATGGGGCTACTCCGTCTTAGCAGAACAGAAAGTCCCCACCCAAATATATTTTGCCTGCAAAATTCAGCTAGATTTCTCTATCACCTCTAGTAGGCTTATGTCATATTAAGTATCAAGTGTGCTTGGTACTTCCAGTTTGTATTCCCTCACCAATACGTATTTTAATGTCTTAGTGAGGGGAATGTCTTCCTGACCCGCCCGAGGTTTTCAGGAGGTGGCTGAGCAGGTTGCACCACATTGGATCCACTTCAATGTTTCCATTTCTCTAAGCTTTTGATCTCCTCTAGCCTATGCAGTGGGGTCTAGCATCTGTGTCTGGTTGACTGTAGGCCTCTATGAGTCAAGACTTCTGTTAACCATTACAGGTGCTTGAGCTAACACATTAAATCCTATCAGGCGTATGTGAAGCACCCTTGTTGGCCTGATCCAACCTTAGATTTATTCTCACTGGCTCATGTACTTAGAATCCATTTCCATGCTTGCTCTCCAGGTTCCTGCTAATAAAATTTGGAAAGATCCTACAACTTCTTCATATACGTTATCTTTCCCAGGAGCAGCCCTTGCAATTATCTCTCTGGATCAAGCTGGGATCTTAGTCTTTTATGGCCCTAGAGGCAGTGAGTATTGTTAGTGGTGGATACTGAAGAGACTAGGCATTTTGTTTTTAGGTAACCACTCTAGATAAAGTAAGTGAAATATTTTTATGTAGGGAATGCTAGTTTTCTTAGAAGGTAAGAAGAACTGTTTCTGATGTGAAGAAATGTTTAGAGATATTAGAGGTTCAAGGTTCTTAGCTTTGTGTCTACACAAAGGTTTCTATCTCAAATCTCAAATTCCCGCTCCTTCCCAACCAGCAGCCTTTACCTTAGCATAAGAGACTAAGCATGAATATACCTTTACCTGGTATGTGATTCTGCAGCCCGTACATTCAGGCCTCAGGCATGAATGAGCTACATAGAATAAGCTTCATAAAATAAGAATTCCTTTAAGGCCACCATAGAAACTTGCTGATTCTTTACCTGTGCCTTGACTTGAGAGTTCAAGGCACTAAGCTTTTCTCTTTTGGGGATGTGGAGGATCTCTTTAGTGGTCAGAAGACCATCTCACTCCACAATCTTTGAATTCACCATGATGCCCAGCAATCAAGTGCCACAGCCACTTGGTCTCCCAGCGCCTTACCCTCATTGGCGGTCTATTTAAGTGATACTTCTAGTAATCATGATGCCACGCATACTACTGATTAGCAGTGTCTTATTTTTCCCTAGCAAGGATACCGCTCATGCACTCACCAACCCAATCCCAGCAGTAGTCTGATGGACTGTTTCCTTAAGCCCCTCCTTGTAACACATACTAAAACAGTCACATATAACTGGGATTTTGAAAACACATATAAGCTGAGATTTTGAAGAGAAATTAATGGAGAGGGACTATTCACAGAAGTTTAGGCAGGGCTCAGAGCACCCACAAGGCTGATAAAGCACCTGGGAATTTACAGCAGTAGGAAGCTTTGTCATCCTTGATCCTTAGGCCTGAAGGACAAAAGGGGATCTGGGGGCTGCTGAGAACTAGAGCTGTCAGAGAGGGCTGCCCATAGGAGCTCTAGTCAGAGAGATAGAGATGAAGTGGGATAGAAATACTCATCCTTTCCATAAAAGCAATGAGAAAACTGGCAAAAATTGTCAGAATCAAATTTTTCAGAACTCTGGAAATTAACAAAAGGCTTACAGCAATCTGGAGTGCATTTATCCGAGAAAAGTGGCTGAATCTCAGTAAGAATAGAGACCTTTGTGAAATTTTAACTTATTATAGTCCCATCTTCTAGTCGTAACCTTGAAAACCAAGAATCTGCAATCACAGTTAACACCAGCAGCCTGGCAGCAACTGGAAAGGGGTAGAAGAGAGTGGGAGCATCTTCGAAGGCCCATTGCCAGAGCACTGTCATTATTTGTCCTGTTTGGTGGTTCACTAAAAGACCCCACTTGCAAGCCTGTCTTTATTTGACCTCAGTCAGAGCTCACCAATGCAAAAAGCCTCTTCTCTGAGGGTGTTCGTCAAAAATTTTCAAAACGGTTACAGATAATTGCTTAACTTCACAGGTGCCTGAGGCACTGGATAACTGTTGGGGCAAACAATTGACTGATCATAAAGCTGAAAAGGAAAATTAGGATAATGAGGTTTCCATAGGGGTTCTGAAAAGTACTAACGTATTCCTGGGAGTCTGTAAGGCCACATGCATGCATAGGGATGTGAGCCTGCTCAGAAAAGACCCAAGAAGGCCCTGAGCTCTCACCTCTGGTTGATTCTGAGGCTCTGTGCAAGCAGGAAGTGAAGGCTAAGGCAGAGCTGTCAGCTGCCTGGGTGAGTGTTGAAAAGTGTTACTGGAGCATAGTGAGAACTGAAGCCATACAGAATGGGCCACCCATGGGAGCTTTACCCTCCCATTATCCAGACCTACTTGGAAGCCAGTTGGTAAGGGAATCCAGGATTGGTCCAAATCTAAGATGAGAGGACTCATAGAGGTAGTTCTAGCTCTTGCCTTGAGGTCATTTATCAATCAAGATGAAATGGGGGCACAGCTTCTTTTGGAGGATTGTCAGGGACCAGGGAAAAATAATAAAGGCCCACAAGGTAACAAAATGATTAGTTGTTACTAGATACTTGGTGGGGGGTGGAGGGATTGGCTACAGATGGATACAGGGAAGTTTTTAGGATAAGGGAAATATTTATATCTAAATTGTGGTGTTAGTTAAATAATTGTATATTTTTCAAAACTCATTCAACTGTATACTTAAAACGGGTGAATTTTATTATATGTTTATATGTAAATATACCTCAATTAACTAGACTTTAAAAAAAAAAAAAGAAGAAAAGAAATATGCAACTTTTCTCTCTTCCTGCCCTTTACCTTCTTGCTATGCCTCCCACTAGCGTAATCCAGCCAGAAACCAACAATCAGGCAGCTTTGGGGTAGGGTCTGCAGAGGTCACCTCCCTGGGCTACAGAGAAAGGCAAAGACTGGACTAAGGGGTGGGGAAGTAGGAAACAGTCGGCACAGGCGGTCTTATGAAAACAGCAGTAGACGATTCTCTCCTCACCAGAGGATAGCACTTCTGGTGGGAAAACAAGCCATCTAACAGCTGGAGCTGTCCAGAATGGGTCACGGGGCTCTGACTCGCTGTGGAAAGGTGCCAAACAGGAATCTGAGATGGCATTCCTCTGCTGTGTGAGAAGATCCTCAAACTCTTACTCAGATTCCAAAATTACCTCTATAAGCAATCTGTGCAAATACATTTGTAGGATAAATTTCTTAAAAGTCTACTTTTTAAGTTTTTTGGTATATATGTGTTCTAGCTAAATTGATGATGTTTTCTGTTACATGGTTTTTATACTGTATTTCAAATTCTATCATTGCACTGTGGGTTCTAGTAAGCAGAATTCAGACCATAACGTGGAAAAATGTTATTTTTCCTTAGCTGCTAACTTAAGGATATTATGTCATCTGAAAACTGCTAATAAAATGAACACACACATACCTCACCTGATTCCAGTGCTCAATTTTAAAAGGAAATTTACATTTCTGTTGTGTACTTTGTTGACCATGCCTAATCCTTTATTTTAACAAAGAAAAAGACTGTCTCTAATGGAAGGAATCCCAAGACTTTAATCTTGAACTCACAGTGCTCTTCTCTCCCTTTTTCCCCTTCCAGGAGGACAGCTGTTAGTTTTGTGGCTTACTGCTGCTCCACCCAGTGTCTGCAGACTTTTGACCTACTGAGCTGATAAACACTCAGGAGCCTCAGGAGTATTGCCAGCTTGACACACAGTCGCCTGCATATCACACGCTGTTTGTGCGGCAGAGTGACAGGAGAGGCCAGCCTGGCTGAGCAGGCCCTTACATCCAGTCCCGTCAAAGGCGGGGGGACTGCAGAACACTCTGTAAATGTCATGATTGGGCTTCAGGGCTAAAATGCCTTCACCCTTCCTCTAAGTTGGAATATATCCTCCCCAAAATTAAGAACTCTGACTTCTGTGTTTTTCTTTTTATGTGAGTGTGTCTCATACGCGGACTATTCACTTTGATGTGCCTCCCCAAATCTAATTTAAAGCAAGTTTCAGTTCCCTGAAGAACCATAATTTGATAATATAGCCAAATTAACTTTGAACACACATACCTTCAATGATACTTCTAATCTTCTTCTCTCTCTTTCTTTCCTCAGAGAATGATTTCCCCCAGAGGGTATCCTCCATGTTTTTAAGGAATTTCAGCAAACCCCATGGCCCCTGTCGTATTGAACAGCAGGGAGGGTGCCTGAGTTGGCAGCGAAGTTAGACTCCAGGGGAGGCTCCTCAAGGGTCCTAACACACACCCCCTGGAAAGCTACAACCTTGTTTATAAGTTTTGCAACGTGTTAAGAGACTTTTGTGAGAGTCTCTTAATTTTATTTAAAAATAAAAATGCAGATTATGGAAGAATACACTCATTTTGAAAGACTGTTGACAGAAAAATAATTTTTGAAATTTTTTATTTCCTGGTAAGATTTTTTTATATGAGAAGAGTTTGAGGAATATTTGAGGCTTTAAAAAAATCTGATCTTTTTCTTCTAGATTTAAACATTTTCTGGCTAATGAGAAAAAGGGAGAAAAAAACACATCAAAATATAACCTCCAGTGTTTCTTGTTAGATGGGTTTATGATTAAATTTATATTGACTTTGAAGTATTTTTGTTACACGTGAATACCAGGCTTCAGCTACTTCTGCTACTAGTTTTTAGCAGGGTGATTCTAAGGACAACCTATGCACATGGACTTAAATACCTAGTGCATTCGATTATCTTAATTTTGACCCTAGATTTCTTATGTATTTAACAACACTGTTGTCCAGATACCACTGAGGAAATACAGGAAAAGCAGGTCCAAATTCAGCCTTGGACTTTTGCAAAAAGACCATAAATGGAAAGTCTGTGAGATTATCTCTGACAGAAGAGATGCTCTTCATGGAGGGGTCACGTGTTTGCTCTTCCTTTGAAAGGAAGGCGTTTAATGTTGCCTTACTGCCAGATGTTCTTCTGGTTGCTGTGAAGTGACTCTTTTTTAATTTTTAAAAATTTTAATTATACACAGTTTTCTCTAAGGCAGGACTTTTTAAAAGGGGAACCAAAAAGATTTACTTGGTAGGAAAATTTTCAAAAGATTTCAGACCTGTCAAAAATTTGGTTTATGGAATCTTACTAGCTACCCTAAATCTGTAATGCTAGGCCCTAACAGTGCTAGAAATCCTACATAGTTACTGACGAATGTGTGATCTTTTCACAGTCGCACCACCTGCCGCCCGGAAAGCAACTATCCACATAGAATGGTGAAGGCAGAACATTACCGTGTGTTCCAACTGTATTTCCACTGTTCTTACTTCCTCTTGTCCCTTTCATAACTTGGCCTGTTCAGCCTTAACATTTCAAAGGCTTATAGTAGAATAGGAACTGAAGATCCATATCAAAATATAGCACTTCTTTCATCCTTTGGAATAATTGAAGTTTTAGTATAACCTCTACATGTATATAAGTTGGCAGGTGAACAATGCGGCATGAAACTTCACAAATGTGATTCAGGCCTAAGTAGCTGCTGCCTGATATTTAAGTGACAGTGAATATACTGCAGCATCTTTCTCTTTCACCCTCCTCAATCATCTGTCTTAAAATGGAGCTATGAAATGTGCTTGCCTGATATTCAGGATTCTCATTGAGGTAAGGATATGTAATGCTTTTGTTTTAATTTGTTTGAAATTTTACAAAGACGCTTACAATCCAAGCATCATCTCTGTTCCTATTATAAACAATGTGTGTTGACCACCAGCAGTGAACTGGGCAGACAACTTTTGGGCACTCCCAACTCTAATCCTTGGTGCAGCACCCAGCTTAATTGATGAGAAATGGAACTTATAATTTGGCTTCCCTGGTGCTATTCATTATCAAAATTTTGTACTGGATTCACTGATGTCATTCTTAACCTTTTGATATTATAGAGGAGTGTTTTAGACTAGAGAAAATTTGCCTACATGCTGTGTATTTGAATTGTGTCCAGAGCTTTGCAGAAAATTCTGAAATTATATATGTGTTTTCTTGAGCAAGTTATACTAGGTAGAGAAATATTTCAGACAATTATAGTAATGCAAAAAAAGAGTGAGTTACTTGGAAAATATAGTCTGTTCAGGTAAGTTTACATCAATAATCTGATGTGGTTAATGGTAAATTTTTAAATTTAGGATACCCTGTTGGGCATAGGCCTTCTTATGATATAGTGTAAAAGGGGTCCGTTTTAAGTGGATTACCCTATTAGTGTTCTTCAGAATGCCTAATTGTTATCATACCAAAATCCTCAATTACATAACGTTGTGTAGATGAAATGTTGCATCTTCAATGAATAAAATATGTATTTTAAGCACACTTAAAATTTTTTTTAAATGTTCAGTACACAAAAGAGCCCTGTCTGGTGGAGCATCCACTCTGGTTAATAGAGAAGAGAGATGAGCTCCTTGGTTACCTGGCCCTCCTCTTCTGGAAAAGTGAGGTATACATTAAACACCTTTGGGTCAGTGTACTCAATGCCCACTAAAACCTTTCATGCTCAGGCTTGTCTGACTAGTTCCATGTACATCTCAATCTTCTTCCACACTTAGAATTATGAATTAAAATGTTTTCAGTCTAATAAAAAAGGCTTCAATACCAATTGGCTTATGAGGCTTTGCATGTAGTTTGCCCTAAAATATATGCTTATTTTGTACTCTCTGAGGACTTTCAAAGCCAGTTTTAAAAATTATTAATAGTAAAATTAGGTTTCTGTTTTCTGAATTGAAAAATCAGGCATTTTTATCTTTACTGAAAAAAGCTTAAACACAATACATTGCTTCAGCAGAAATCAAAACATTTTTATTCAGATGATTTATGAACATGGATTCCTAACAGGGCCAGCACTAATGCAATCTGATGTAATTAAATACTGAGAAGTAAACTTCATTTCACAGACTTGTAAACACACTCTCTTTAGGAATCTTACTTAAAAATGTATCCTTACAAAACCCTAGCTGTTTTATTATGCTTTCATTATTTTTGTGGTTTCCATCAACTCCTGCTTAGTCCTAATGAGGCTGTTCTACATTTCTCCAGGAATTTAGTGAATATCTTGTCTTCTCTTAAACAGAGGAGATTTTTATAAAGTCTATATTCTTGAAAACAGCTCTATATCTATCTAAAACTCATTCAAATCTCACTGTCCCCAGCCAGGAGGTATCTCCCTGTGTTATCAGCTAATAGATCTAAAAGTGATGCAAGTGTGTCTAGGAAAGGGATTGATCATAGCTGAGTTGACTGTTATCCTTGGTCAGGAAAAGAGATTGCTTTACAGCCTAGGATGTTCTCTTTGAAGCATGACTGTATTGTCCCTTGTACTTCAGAGACAGAAAAGTACTGGCAGCCCAGTGTGGTGGCTGGGCAGAGGATGGAGCATTTGGAGATCATTTCTATATGTAATTAAGAGACTTGCAAGGGTTGGCCAGGTTTGTTTTTTTCACTCGTCTTATAGTAGAGTGTGGATTATCCTTGCTACCTATGTTAAAGAATATCAGGTTTTGTTTCTCACAGCAATTCTGAGACTATAATAAAATCCAAGATTTTTTCTTTTTCTTTCTTTTTTATGGGGGGGGGGTGGGTGATGTGAGGAAGATTAACCCTGACCTGCCAATCCTCTTTTTGCTGAGGAAGATTGGCCCTGAGCTAACATCTGTGTTCCCCTTCCTCTATTTTATATGTGGGACACCACCACAGCATGGCTTGATAAGCAGTGCATAGGTCCACGCCCAGGATCTGAACTCACCAACCCCAGGTTGCTGAAGGGGAGTGCACGAACTTAAACACTATGCCACTAGGCTGGCCCCTCTTTTTCTTTTCTTTTTTTTTTTTTTTTTTGTATAATGAAAGAATTTTCTCAAACTCTGCCTACTGAAAAATTAATGGCAACATTCATTTGGAGTGTGGACATTTTCTAAACCTCATATTGTATCCAGTTTGGTTGTTCTCTCAGCTACTGCTCTTTATATAATAGTTGAGCTTGAACCATGTGAATGCCTAGAAATATCGTTGGTGGTGACTTCATTGTTTTAACCAGATTCATTTAGTTAGGAAAAAATTAAAGGAGATTAAATATTAAAGCCAACAAAAATGGTGGAGGAGGGACCTCTGAAAATTCTCCCCTCCATAAAAGCAAGGAGAAAATTGGCAAAAATTGTCAGAATCAACTTTTTTCAGAACTCTGGAAATTAACCAAAGGCTTAGCAGCAATCCAAGGAATATTTACTCAAGAGAAATAGCTGAATCTCAGAAAGAACCATAAGCTTTGTGGCATTTCAACTAGCCCTATTTCCAGTGCCCCCTCCCCTTTCCAGCTCAGCCATATCCTTAAAAACTAACAATCCACAATCAAGGTAGAAGCAGCAGCATAGAAGCCACTGGAGGAGGCAGAATGGGGTTGGAGCTCCTTCAAAGCCTCATTCCCAGAGAATTGTCATTATTTGACTTGTCTGGTGGTTCCCTTGCAAGCCTCACTTGCAAGGCTATCTTTATTTTGCCTGATCAGAGCTTGCAAGGTGTGAAAAGCCTTTTCCACAGGGACATTTACTGAAAAAAAAATCAGACAGTGGTGGCTGCCTGAAGCAGTGGATAACCATCAGAGCAAACATCAGGCTAACCAAAAACCTAAAAGGAAAAGCTGAGGAATGAGATACTTGTAAAGGCTTTAAAAACACTCTGACATTCCTGGGAATTTAGATGGCCATGCACACGCATAGGGTTTTTTACAAGCCAAGGGTTGTACATCTGCTCAGGAAAGACCTGAGAACATCCTCAGCTCTCACCTTAGGTTGACCTTGAGGATCTGCACAAGCAGAAAGTGAAGCCTAAGGCAGAGCTGTGAACTTCCCAGCTGAATGTTGAAGGGTGTTCCAACATACACACAAAGCACTCAATA